TGTGTCAGAGGCAGTGAGATTGGCATAGGATAGAGCAGGATTTAGGGCTGTTGTACATAGGGTCTCTATGAGTCACAAGTGACTCGACGGCACATAACAACAACAACAATTATTTCTTGGTGATTTCGTATCTGGGGCTTTTGGGACAGATGCACTTGGCTGTCCAGCAGCTAACCCAACACAGGTCCCATCAGATCTCATGCAGGGCTGCTGATGTGTCAGTTTGACTTCACACTGTTGAGGTTCATGGATACCTGATAGTTTGTTGATGAGGTTGCCTTGGGCTATTTTCTTGCCTTCCTAGATACCCTATATTTCTATGGACACTGGGGCATATTTTAAAGGCTAATGTCACTATGACCCCTGCACTCACCACCCTCATCCACTGAAGCTTCTGATCTGCCCTTAGATTGCAGTGATGCTTCAGATAACCATTGCCTTCTTCCTTATTTTTTTCTGAGTCCTGCACCATTTAAGCCCATGACTGTAGTCACTGTATCAGTCTTTATTGACAAAATGTTTTTTAAATTTATTATTAATTTCAATGAAAATTTACAGAGACTTTGGATTTCATTCATTGTTGCAGCCGTCTTCCTTTTAAAATCATCTCACCTGGTTTCTCTACCATCCCTTGCCCCCAGCCACCTCTTGGACTCTTCCTGGGAGTGAGACCTTCATGATCTCTTGGTTACTCAGTCAGTCATCCAGCCAATCACTGTGTGGCTGTGATTTGCCCGATTCTAGTCCCTAACTGGGTCCTCATTTTCTGGCTCCTGGCAAAGGTCATGAAGCAAAGATGCCTTCTGATCTAGGCAGACACAGTCCGTGGTCAGCAGCCATCGTGACCAGAGTCCCTATAGACAAGCAGGAATGAGCACCTGATGTTCATCTTCCTCACTCTCCTGTTAATGACCGTGGAACAGGGCTAGCTATAATCCCTGCAGAAGCAGAAAACAGGTCTGATCTTCTGAGGTGCTGCTGGGTGAGTGTGAACTACCAACCTTTGGTTACCAGCTGTACCATCCAGGGAACTTAGTAGTGTTACTGTAATAGAAATACCACAAGTAGGTATCTTTAAAGAACAAACTTATTTTCTCATATAGGATTGCCTATTTTATGGTGCCTGGGTCATTGACCCAACCATGCTATTGTTACGTAAAGGAAGCCACAGACAATATGTCAACAACATTCCAATAAAACTTTTACCTAAAGAAACAGGCAGTTTGCTAATCCTTAGGTTCTAAAGGTTTCTTCCCACTCTCACAATGTATTGATCCAGGATGCCAGAGGAAAGTTAAGAAGGTCCCTGTCCACCCAAGGATCTTTTCTGCCTTTTGCTTAGCCCAGCCAAGTCCTACAGGGCTCCCTGCAGGGAGTGCTGACTATGGGTCCAATCCATATGGGGACTGTGTGTATCCCTAGCCCGCCTCCCACTCCTCATACCTTTCTCTTGAAGCCAAGAGCTAGGACTAATCTTGTGGAGGAATTGAGGGCAAAGTTGGAATTAAGCACGTATTATAACCCAGCAAGGCACCTTTGGTCAAACTAGCTAGCCCAGGTAAGGGTGGGTAGCAACATTGGAAGCCTGTCTCCATGATCAATGATTGTCCTGTGCAAAAAAAAAAAAATAATGAGGGAATGGGGTGCACTGAAAGGATGCCCTCTCTTTTCACATGGCTTTATCCAGTAATTATGTCAATACGAGGATAACCCTTTAAATGTTTAGGTTTTATATTCCAATCCCTCCTTCTTCAAATATGAGGGGGAAAGGATGTAGGGATGGTTCTCCCTATAGGAACAGGAGTGTCTTCACCTGCAGAACTCTAGGAGACCCAGTAGGGACTGTGGTGGCCATTGCACACTGTTCACAAAAGGCAGAAACAGTCTAAATGTCCAGCCACGGATGAGAACAGGGAGAGGAATTGTGGGTACAGAAGTTTAAGAAAAAGAATGTGAAAGAGCCTATTTTGCTAAATTTGAAAGGTAGAATGAGGTGACATGGTTATTTATTGTAAGAGAATGGTAGGAGGAATGGGGAGTGTGATGAATAATAGAATCCAAGGGTAGACTTTAATAATAATCTCATGTAGCAAAGTTCCCACCAATGGTGTCTGCATACATGATACATATATATGTATTACAGTGGAGTTCAAATTAACGTACAGAACACAGGGACAAATCTCCTCAAAAGCTACCTTAACACTTGTCCTCAGGATGCCTTAAATTCAATGAAAGTCAAACTGACTTGCTGTTTCTTTAATTAAAGTGGGAGTCACATGCTGGTGAGTAAGAGTATCTCACTAAATATCAAGTAGGGAGTTAGTTACTGGGAACGACCCAGTGACTTTCCCCAGGTAGTGATGAATATATATTGTTGGGGTCAGGTGAGTCTCTACCAGCTCCCCCGGTTCATCAGCTCATCCCCTTCTCTGGGCCTCGGTGTCTCCCTTGGTAACCCGGGGTGTGATGACCTAGACAGCCTTGGGCAACTTTAAGTTCTCATATTCTGCAGTTTTGCTCATGGTTACTTGCCCTCCGTCCACTTAGCGGTGATGGCGGTGTGAGAAGCTGAATTGCTTGGTGACCCGTCCTGGTCTCTGTCTTTGCAGCGCTGTTGGAGATTTCCAGATGGACGACAAGACCAAGGCCTTACTCAAGTACACGGGTGAAGTGACCTGGATCCCTCCGGCCATCTTCAAGAGCTCCTGCAAGATCGACGTGACCTACTTTCCATTTGATTACCAAAACTGCACCATGAAATTCGGTTCCTGGTCCTACGACAAAGCGAAAATCGACCTGGTCCTGATCGGCTCGTCCATGAACCTCAAGGACTACTGGGAGAGTGGAGAGTGGGCCATCATCAAGGCCCCAGGCTACAAGCACGAGATCAAGTACAACTGCTGTGAGGAGATCTACCCTGACATCACATACTCGCTGTACATCCGGCGCCTGCCCCTGTTCTACACCATCAACCTCATCATCCCCTGCCTGCTCATCTCCTTCCTGACCGTCCTCGTCTTCTACCTGCCCTCCGACTGCGGCGAGAAGGTGACGCTCTGCATCTCAGTCCTGCTCTCCTTGACCGTGTTCCTCCTGGTCATCACCGAGACAATCCCGTCCACCTCCCTGGTCATTCCCCTGATCGGCGAGTACCTCTTGTTCACCATGATCTTTGTAACCTTGTCTATCGTCATCACTGTCTTTGTACTCAACGTGCACTACCGAACCCCCACCACGCACACGATGCCTGCCTGGGTGAAGACTGTGTTCTTGAACGTGCTTCCCAGGATAATGTTCATGACCAGGCCTGCAGGCAACGAGGGAGACGCTCAGAAACCCAGGCCCTTCTACAGCGCCGAGCTCTCGAATATTAACTGCTTCAGCCGCGCAGAGTCCAAAGTCTGCAAGGAGGGCTTCCCCTGCCAGGATGGGGTGTGTGGTTTCTGCCACCATCGCAGGATAAAAATCTCAAATTTCAGCGCCAACCTCACAAGAAGCTCCAGTTCTGAGTCTGTCGATGCAATGCTGTCCCTCTCTGCTTTGTCGCCAGAAATCAAAGAAGCCATCGAAAGTGTCAAATATATTGCTGAAAATATGAAATCACAAAATGAAGCCAAAGAGGTGAGGGTCTGCTTCTTATCACATTTCTTTCATTAAGGGAGCCTGGTAGTGTAGTGGGTTGAGTTTTTGGGTCACTAAACAGAAAGGTCAGTGTTTTGAATCTACCAGCTACTCAGTGAGAGGATGAGGCCTTAAGATTTACAGCTTCAGAAGCCGGTCAGCTTCTGTTAAGATTTACAGCTTCAGAAGCCCGGAGAGAGGATCACCATGAGTCAAAATTGACTGGGCAGCAGTGGGTTGCCTTTGTTTTGTTTTCATTTGTTAGACAAACTCTGTTGTTTCTTTTGAGGCAAGGTATAGACTGGGGGCTAGGGAGTTAGACTGTGAAGTCATTGGCTCAGATTGCCTTGGGTGTGTTACCTCCCCTCTCTGACTGAGCCTGTCTGCTCACCTGTAAAATGGGACGAGGAAGTTCATGGTGCCCTGAAGTTACCACCTGGGCTGACAACAGTCTGGGTCATCAGAACATCTACTGTCATGAGGCTGGGAAAAGGCATGAAGCCAGGCCATCTTCAATTAGTTTTGATCAGTTAAGCTTACATTTTAAAGCTTGGGTGTTTTTATTTTATTTCTACCTGTGTTATTTTAAATAGAACTACAATTTACATAATAGAAATTACACACCTCAATGAGTATTTGTATTATGTGTACATTCACATAACCATAGTCCAGATAAAGATACAGAATGATTTCAGGACCCTAGAAAGTCTCCTCATGTCCCTTTCCAGTGTCTCCCTCCTTCACTGATAACTACCCTGTCATCTTTTACACTGTTTCGTTTTGCTGTTTTCAAATTTTATTGTAGATGGAGTCTCAAATTGTTTCATGTCTGAATTCTTTCACTTAATGTGTTTCTGAGGTTTATCTTTGTTGTTGTTTTGCTCTTGGTATCTAGTTTTCCACAGCATGCGTGGACTTCATGTCTGTTTATTGATTCTACAATTATTGGATATTTAGTTATTGCCAATTTGAGATTATTATTAATAATAAGCAAAAGGAAATGAAAACAAGTTCACACAAACCAAAGTGCGACCTTGCATCTATCCCACCTGAATTTAAAAATCATCTTGAGAATAAGTTTAATACATTAAATATTAATTATCAAAGACTAGATGAGTTGTGGTATATCATCAAAGATAGTATGAATGAAGAGAGCAGATGGTCATTACAAAGACAGAGGAGAAAGAAAAGAACAAAATGGATGTCAGAAGAGACTCTGAAAATTGCACTAGAACATTGAGAAGCCAAAACAAAGAAAGAAAAGAGATGCTGGGGAAAAAAGAGTTGAACAGAGGATTTCAAAGGGCAGCTCATGAAGACTAAGCAAAGCCTTTCTCTGAAGATGGTGCTGAAAGTGAAGAAGGAAGTCCTTGTCCCTCCCAAAACAGAAGCCAAAACAGGTGTTAAGGCCAAGAAGACAGTCCTGAAGGGCATGACAGCCACACAAAAAAAGAAGATCCGCACATCACCCACCTTCCGGCAGCCTAAGATGCTAAGACTCTGAAGGCAGCCCAAATATCCCCAGAATAGTACCCCCAGAAGAAACAAGCTTGACCACTATGCCATTATCACTGACCACTAACCAGTGAATCAGCCATAAAGAAGACAGAAGATAACAACACACATTTGTTCATTGTGGGTGTCAAGACCAGTAAACACCAAATCAGAAAAGGTGTAAAGAAGCTCTATGACATTGATGTGGCCAAAGTCAACAGCTTGATTAGGCCTGATGAAGAGAAAAAGGTCTATGTTTGACTTGCTCCTGACTATGATGCTGTGGATGTTGCCAACAAAATTGAGATAATCTAAAGTCAGTCCAGCTGGCTAATTCTAAATACAAATTTTTCTCACTATAAAAAAAAAAAGCCACACCCACATCCACATCCACCAGTGTCAGGAACTGCGAGCTAGCCACACGCCCAGCAGTTTCCTAGGCCCCCACAGTGAGGTCCCCTTTTATGTGTGTCACTCCCGTGCGGCCTCTTCTGCTGGGTTAGGTGGTCAGGCCCTTCCTTGTCTCCCAGGCCATGGGTTTGGGGTTTATACTTATTATTTTTATGGTAGGCCGTGGGTTTTGTAAATTCTCTGCACTTCACCTTGCTTGAGGGCACCATTGACCTGACCTGCAATTGCCTGTTTTCGCCTTAAGATGGGGGGGGGGGTTGCAGAGCTACATCTGTCTGGTTCACCATGTTACGTCCAAGATTGGTTGGCCAAATTGTGTTGTCTAAACGAAACTCAGTTTCCATTATTTCAATGCTTGGTTTCCCCTTGCTGCCCTTCTAGCCTAATGTGAGACAATATAATAAAAAAAGAAAAAAAGACAAAGAAGACAAAGCAAAATATTACAACAGAATGTACAAAGAGCTGAAGTTGAAGAATCAAAAAGGTATAACTCACTCAGCATTTCTCAGGATGAAAGAACTGAAAAACAAATTCAAGCCTCAAGTTGCAATACTGTGGAGGTGCTATGGGCAAAATCTTGAACGATCCAGGAAGCATCAAAACAAGATACAGGAAATATACAGAATCACTGTAAAAAAAAAAATGACTGGCCAGTACTAAAATATTTGAAGAAGGAACATATGATAAAGAGCCACTGGTGAAGAGGGAAGAAGTTCAAGCTGCACTGAAGGCATTGGCAAAGACAAGGCCTGAGGTATCAGTTGACTTGTTTCAAGTAACAGGGCAGCTCACTAGTCTGTGCCAGAAAATATGGAAGACAGCTACATGACCAACTGACTGGGAGAGATCCTATTTATCCTCATTCCGAATAAAGTTAATCCAACAGAATGTGGAAATTATCAAACAATATCATTAATATAAAAACATTGCAAAATAATGCAAGCAAAATATTATTGAAGAGCATAAGAAAATGGCTAAAACAGAACATTGACAGAGAACTGCCAGAAACTCAAGCTGGGTTTTTAAGAGGCTGTGGCACCAGGGATATCATTGCTGATGTCAGATGGATCTTGACTAAAAATAGAAAATACCAGAAGAATGTTTATTTGTGTTTTATTGGCTATGCAAAGGCACTTAATTGTGTAGATCACATGGTTAACACTGAGAAGAATGGGAATCCCAGAAAGCATACTTGTATTCATAGGAAACCAAGATGCTGTTGTCCAAACAAAGCAGGAGAACACTGCATGCTTTAAAATAAAGAATTATGTGCATCAGGACTATATCCTTTCTCCATGCCTATTCAATCTGATTTGCTCATCATTTAAGAAGCTGGACTTTATGAAAAGAAATGTGGCATGCAGGTTGTAGAAAGACTTATCAAGAACCTAGAATGTGCAGATAACACACATTGGTTGTTGAAAATGAGGAGGACTTGAAAAGCTTGCTGCAGAAGATCAAAGTGTATAGCCTTCAATATTGATTACATAGCAGCATCAAGAAGACAAAAATCCTCACCATTAGGTCAATAGATACCATGCTATATGAAGAAAAGATTGAAATTGTCAGTGATTTCATTTTACTTGGATCCACAGTTAACATCCTTGGTACCTCAAAAGATGTACTGAATTGGGAAAGTCTGCTGTCAAGGACCTCTCCTCTACTAAGGAGCAAGGTTGTCATTTTAAAGACTAAGATGTGCCTGATTCTGGCCATCATCTTTCCAGTCACTTGCTATGCATCTGAGAGCTGGTCAGTGCATAAGGGTGACACAAGAAGAATTAATGCTGTTGAATTGTGGTGTTGGAGAAAAGTATTCAATATCCCATGGGCTGCAAAAAGATACATCTTGAAGAAGGTGCAGCCAGAGTACGTGCATCCTTGTCTCTACAAGGAGGGCAAAGCGTTGCCTCACCTATTTTGAGCATGCTGTTAGGATGGGCTATTCCTTGGAAAGAGACAGCATGTTTGCAAAGGTAGAGTGTCAGTGAAGGTGAGTAAGACCCTCAATAAGATGGAATGACACAGTGATTACATGTTGGGCTCAAATATGTCAGTGATGAGGAGGATTATACAGGATAGAGGTTCAGATATGTTATTCAGATGGTTGCTCGAAGTCATACTCAATTCTATAGCATTAATAACAACAAATGACCCTATTTATATCTTGCACTTACCATATTTTCAGTAATATTGAAAATATGCACTAATATCTCTTGGATATACGTAGGAGTGGAATTTATAGATCATTGAATAGATATATTTTAACTTTAGTAGATACTGAAATTTTCCAAAGTCCTAGAAACAACACTCCTACTAAGCATAAGAGTTCCAGTTGCTCCACAGTCTGATAATGTGTAGTACATCTAACTTGCTGTTTGAATTTGCATTTCCCTGTTGAATAATGACGTTGAACTCTTTTTCATATGTGTATCGGTCATATTGTATCTCTCTTTGAGGAATTTAATTTTTTTTTACTCATTTTTAACTAAGTGTACCTATTTTTATTTTCTAAAAAAATAGGATGCTAGGACTAATGGCAAGGGTGAGGCATAGGAAAGTTTTACACCAATGTTATGTGTGTTCATGACTGCTACATGAACAGAGGTTCACCCTCAAGGTCACCAGAATCACATCCTCTAATTTCATAAGAAGCCCTGCTTTAAAATTAATTAGCTCTGCCATAAGTTGCTTATTAGCAAAGAGCTAATTACAAGGTAACTTCAGTTCCTGATGCACTGTAGTTAATTACCGTTGGTAGCATAGCAGCCATGAGCGACATACAGCAGAGGAGGCAACAGCAGCCTTCATCTGCCCACTGCCACCCACTGAGTATCCGTGAGCACATCCTGTGATTGTAGCAATGCAAAACCTCCATCTGTTCTCAGGAATTTACCCAGAACACTAGGCAGGCCTTTTATGTTTGGTTTAAGCAGTTGCTGGACATTATATAAACAGTAGAAATGTGCTTCCTTTGCCTAACATTTAACTTTTGCAGATATTCTCTAACTTTTCTTTTTAAAAAAACCTCACATTCATTGCCTTCCATTTGGAACACACTCCTCGCTGACCCTCTAGTGAGTTTCTGAGGCTGT